TGCCAAGAACAGCCCCCTCAGCACATGCTGAAGTGCCTCAGCCCCTACAGCCCTGCACCACAATGGGGCAGGGGAAGTGCAGCGGGGCCCAGAAGCACTGTTTGTTCTGAGTGAAAGAGGGGATTATCTGAGTGGGGCTAAACAAGTGCCCTGAAGATTCAAGTGATGTCCAGAGACAGCTGAAAACAATCTGTACTGCAGCCACTCTGATGGCATAAGATAAAGGGGCTGATGGCTTAAAGAAAAGGGCTCATTGCGCGGGAGAAATGGAGGGTAAATTGCTCTTTTTATTTCCTGCTCATGTCAGCTGGTGATGAATTAGGAACAGAGATCCCTGAGGAAAAGCTCCCATGGGCTGAGCAGCAGGCTGAGAATTTGGGAGGTTGAGCGGTGCAGGACACACTGGGCTGCCCTGTCCAGCAGCAGCCGCCTCAGCTGCCCGTGGGCTCGGGTTTGACTGCAGGCTGCTGAAGAGGCAGGAGCTGCCTGGGGACTGCTGCTGTGCCTGGCACGACAGCTTCCCCCCGAGGCTGAGGAAGGGGCTGAGGAGAGAGGAACTCTTTCCTAAAGCCTTTGAACACTGGACCTTTCCTCTGGGGTAGGGAGAGGGCCAGAGCAATAATATAGCAAGACCCACAGGCTCTACTCACTCTGGCCTGGTTGATCTCAACGTTTCCTTTCACCATTCAGACAAAATCTAAGTTACAAAATTGGTTCTCATTTCTAGTCAAGCTTCTTTCTAAAGGGGCTCCTCCAAAAAGCAGCATGAAGTAGTTTAAACAAACAAGGCACAACTTTATCACCAGGCTATAGTGCAAGCATAACTAAGACTCAGAGGACACGGGGCACTTGCAAGATGTGCCTTCCTTCAGGACAGGGCTCAGTACCAAGCTTGTGCAAGAAAAAAGACAGTAATCCCCAAACTATACCCCTGAAGCCCAGAAATGAGATCACACATCCTACAGACGGAAAAGCTTACTGAGATTGCACTCAGATTTTTGAGAGTTCACGCGTTCAAAGCTTTTCTGCTTTTTCTGGCTGTATCAGCTTATCTGAAAAAGGATATTGCCTCTCCCTAGAAAACCAGGCTTCCTTGCCAAGCTTTGGGATAGCATTATGTGGAAGGAAAGAGGTGGGCTAGGTGATCCTTTGTAGTAACATTGGGATGGAAGAAAATAGGGACATTCAACAAGCTCCCCTTTTTTGATTTCCATGTGTGCAGCACATGGCTGCTCCACCCCACTCAGCTGGAGTTACTGAACCAGCCACCAAGGACTGGCTGCGTGCTGGGAAGAAAGACTTCGTACCTGCTCCACACAAGCCTGGGAAAGGAAGGAAGCCTTGAAGTTCATATGACAGCATCTTTAGTCCCTTTGCTCTCCGTGGCACAAACCAAGCTGGAATGGCCTTCCCAGAGCGAGGAAGGGGCTCCCTGTGAAGGGCACAGTGGCTGCACAGTGCCACTTATACACACATGCTGTAAATAGCTGAAAGGAAAGAGAGGGGCATATGTGTTTGTGGCAGAGCCAGCCTAGCAAGAGAAGTTGCTGTAACCTGGCCCCTGGCCTATCAGGGGTTTTTACAGGACAGAAACATTGCTCTCTTAGCACAGCTTCAGCAGGGACAGCACAGGGGGTTCACACCCCACCAGCTCAGAAGAACAAGCACACTTGCTGCCAGTCTTTCATCTCTAGCCTGTCCCAAACCCAACAGTTCAGGAGCACCCACAGCTCTAGGGGGTTGTACAACCCCCCATAGCCACGACACTGATTCCCACCCAGAAAAGGCTGAACCAACCCCTCTAGACTGATCTGCTATCCTCCACCTTCAAAACAGGCTTAGCTCTTGGCCACCCACAGCAATATTATCCCCTCTTTGTGTGCTAGGGTGGCACTGGGCTGAAGGAGCCTCTTGCTGCGTTGGAGCCAGCTGAGCTGGCTCAGAGCCCTGCCTCCCCACCCACCCCGTGCTCCCATGTGAACGTTCATCCCTCGCTGCATCCCACGTGCCGGTGCCACAGATGAGCAGCGGCTCTGTGGGCCCAGGAGGGGTGTCCTGGAAGGCAGCTGCTCTCAGGCTGTGGGAGCAGGGCTCCAGCAGAGGGCCGAGGACAGCACGTACCCAGGTGACGGGCTTGCACCGGCACAGACAGGCAGGAGGGCGCTTTAACCAAGGCTGCACCAAGGAAAAGCACCTTCTCTTGGTTAACCTCTGCCCCTGCTCTTTGCCACCCATGGTGAGCTGAGCGTGTTTCCTGACCTACAACAGCCAGCTCTGGTGGCAAAAGCTTGGTTTGTTGTCACAGAGCGAGGCCAGAGCTAGCAATAAACTGTGCTTTAGAATGCACTTTCCTGCGTGTTTTCCCTTTGCTGGCACTGCAGCATCTCCCCTTCCCAGGTGTCCTCTCCTGGACCGGACCTCAATTAACTCCCAGCCCGAGGCTATAAATCAAGTCAAAAAAAGGGGCTGTAAAATAAACATGAACAGGTCTTCCCCTTTCCATTCAAATGTACTGAAGTGGCAAAGCCTTTTTGCAAGTGGAGCTCAGACCCCGTGTGCTTCGCTGGCCTCACAAGAGAGGATGCGATGTGCTCACACTGTAGTACAGGTGACCTGGTCACTGGGATGCAGGCAGCACTGACAAGTGCCCCATGGCTTGGAGGTCAGCCCCAGGTCGCTCATTCAGAGTTTCCATGGGGTGGACAGGTCTCATTTACAGCTCACAAGAGCTGGAAAAGATTTTAGAGATGGAGGTTAAATAAGCAACATTTTTGGGTTTTATTAAAAGGCTGGGCCTACAAGAACATAAAAGCATACATTTCATCCAACAGACCTACCTGACACCTCAAATAAGGAAGAAAAGTAGATCTTCAGCCTCTGAGCCAAAATCTGCTCCAAGGGATGCCCACGAGGTCAGTAAAGTTGGCTGTGTGACACTACTAACACGAAGGACTAAATTCTGCTGTCAAAGCAGCAGCCGTGAGAACTGTGACCTGCTCTAAAAATATGTGGAGGAAGAGAACAGAGGGTCCATAAACCACTGCTCTTTGTAGTGCTCCAGTGTGTGAAGCAAGGCCACAGCGTGCCAGGTGCTGTAAGCCACAGTGAAACACCCTCCTGTGAGGAAGAGAAATCCCTGCAGGCAAGGGGGTAAGGAGATAAAGCAAGGAGAGCAGAGCTTTAGCCTGGTTCTCCTGGTGCACCCATGGCCCTGTATACCCTCACTGGGCAGTGGAGCAGGATAACCCCTCCAAAGCAACAGTCTTTCAAAGTGAGATGACCCAATTTAGGGAAAGTTCTGCCTTTCAACCAACTCTCCATGCTGCCCAGCAGCCTCACTCATCTGGTCTGCAGAAGAGAAACCAGCTTTACTGCCCCGACCCACTGCCAGCTCCCTCCGTGCTGCAGAGCCTGCAGCAAGCTTCTTTATAGCCTTAAAAGCCATATGGAACCTTGAAAGCCATTAAACACCTTCCTGGGTCAAAACCAGCAAAGTAATAGTAACTCCCCAAATCTTTGCTCTACCACACCCTTTGGAAATTTTCCATCTCTCTCGTAGCTCGTAATGCAGCCCCAGGGAGTGTCTAACTCAGCAGCAGACTGTTTGCTAGGAGCTAAATCCTCAGCACGTTACCATGAAGAAATGGAGGAGGCAATTGTAGCCTGTTTTCATTAGCAGAGGGTCCCAAGCCTGTTCAGAACTGAGCTACTCCTTGCACAGGGAGTGAGTAAGCACGTGTGCACACACCTGGAATGTGAAGGGTTAAAGTCTTTGGGTCTGTCCTTTTGTGGCCACTCTTTCTGCGCTGATTGTAGGTTTGCAAAGAAGTGTTCATTCAGAGATGAGACATCTTTAGAGCCATGAGATGGATCAGAAGATATAGAAAAAAAGAGTTCAAGAGAGGAGGAAAAAGCTGAAGGGGACTGAAACCTTCCTTCAGGTCTTTGTCCCTCCTCTATAAATGGGGGACTATGACAATGCTGCTGTAGTTTGTCCAGTTAATTATAGAACAATACAAGGACCCGGGCTGTGATGGATTGGTGATTTACAAGATAGGAGTGCAAGAGCCAGAGAATGGTGATTACACGGGCGCTTCCACACTGCCCATACAGCTGCCTGTTTGACTAACACAAAGAATGCCTCGCATCTGCCTTCCCCTCAGATAAGAGCAATGCCACACAGGCCTGGGTAAACACCAGAGCTGGGCTTCACTCAACCGGGAGGGGATGCCCGTCGTGCTTCCCCGCTGGGTCCTGGAGAGCCACCACGGGAGAAGGTGCAGCGCTGGCAATGCTCACCTTCACTGCAGGGTTGGGTGCCCAGGACTGAGATAAGAATCACTGAAGCAAGGCCACAGACAGGGGACAATGGCCAGGCTTGGGCCACAAAGCCATCCATCACTGGGGAGACAAAGCTGTTGTCAGCAGGGGCGGCCACATCCTCTAGGCACGGCAGGTGTCAAGTGAGTTGGATGACAAGCACGGCAAGGACTGACAAGGCCCTCCAGGGAGATGCCAAGAGAGGGAAGGCCATACAGGGATTGTTGCTACCCCACACCAGTGCCAGGAAAGACCACAGTGCTCCACAGATTCCTTCCAGGTGCCAAAAAGCATAAATCTCCTGATACCAGGTGTGATTTTTCTTAATTGAAACATTTCTCCAATAACTGAGGATGTAGCACTTCTCCTTGGCAAAACAGAGTATTGCAACTGCACAAATTAAAGCCCTCCACATATTCTGACAAGAAAATCTAGGCTCAGAATATTCAGGGAAATTTTTTCCCTCCTTTCTTAATGATGTGAACCTTTCCCTAGTTGAAGTCTCTGAGTACCCATCCAAGAATGCCCACCCGCCTCCAGCTCAGCCTGCACATTCCAGCTCTGTGGCTGGCTACTCAGTGACACAAGTTTGCTCCGGTTACTCCATCACAAAATAGAGGAACATGGGAGAGCACTGGCAGCTGCACACAGGGGGTGCAAGGGAAGGGAGCTGTGAGGTGGTATGCACATCTCCTTCACGCTTTATGCACATCCCACATCATCACTTAAGGGTTGCCTGAGGACCAGGGGTTTTGATGAGCCCCTTCAGTGATTAATTTTATTTCAGACTAACACAGTAGCTCAGTTGGACTTCATGACCCACTCGAGCCTAAGTGCTCAACAGTCCCTTGCATGAGTAGCTTCCTATATATGTAGTTCCACCAAATCATCCACCTTGAGGGAACAAGCAAATTTCCATCAGGTCTGGCTTCCACATGAAAGTGATACAAGGAACAGCCTTTCCAAGTTCACTACTAGCCAGAAGACAGGAATGAAACACATGTTTCTGATCATTTCAGAAGCTCCAAAAGGAGTCTGATTCAGGGAATGGGCAAGACTTCGAAGGCAAGAGGGAAAACACATGTCCTGTTTGAAGTGTAGGGTCTCATTTTTTATTAAGCCGTCTTAGCCACTCTTAACACATGCACATGAAGTGTCAGCCCAGGGCAACGTGCAGAGTAGTTCATGGTGCACATATTAGAAACTAAGACATCCCAGAGCTTGAAACTGCTGAATTCAGCAACGTGGCCCGAGCTCATTGCAGCAAAGGTTAAAGTGGAGATGGGGGTCTGAACTCAGACTCCCAAATACCAAAGCTTACAGTGGGGTACATCTCAAATTATAACCTGCCCTCTCTCCTTTCTCTCTCCTCATTGCAGCTCCTGGGACTTTCCTCTCCTGTGTCATGTTTGGTGACTTTTTGCTTATTTTTCTGCAGTCGGGAGAGATGCCACAAACCTGGAGCTGGGCCCTTCCACCCATTAATCAAAAGGTACAAGTGCTCTGCAGGGATACAAAACCTCTGTGTGTTTTCTCTGATATTTCTGGAGCACGGCATGGAGGGCAGGGGGGCTGGGCCAACGACCCCTAGTTAGATTAACATTTTATTCAGAGACCTATTAATCAAAGTCAGAAGTGGCGTGAAGCGGCACCAAGGGGGAAAAATAGCTGGACAATCAAGGCCCTTTCAAAAAAAAAACAACCCAACCAACCACACAACAAAAAAACTCTCTCAGCTTGTCCTGATTTACTGCAACTCACAGAACTAGGTGGGAGGGGGGGTTTGCAGCCTCTATCCAAACAGGAGTAGACCATACAGGTAAATTCTGGCTTTTTTCACATTAAGCAAACAACTCTCTGTATCCTGTCCCCGGCACCAGTCAAAAAGGTCCCTATCTTTCTTTCTCCAGAGCATAACACGCTTTCATGCAAGCTTATACTTTTTAATTATTATTTTTGGAAGACTGCACAATTAGACTTCTTTTTCTTACAAGGAAAGACAGGCACAGTTAACGGGAACAGGTCTGGCCAGAGCTCTGCAGGGCCTTTTGGGGAGGAGACAAATGACCTTATAGAGCCTGATCCCCAGAGGAGCCAGGCATGTCTGTGCTGGGAGACTGAACAACCCCGTGCTTGTTCCCCCAGCACCAGCACTCACTCGTCATGGGACGAAGCACAGTGACACAGGTGGCACGGGCCTGCAAACACAAAGATGCACTGGGCACTGGGCAAAAGGGGCACTTTGTTTTAAGATAAAGATCAGCCAGGGAAGAATTCAACAGTCAGTTTGCCCCAAGAACTCAGCCATTGAGGCCCCGCAAGTTCCAGTGAGAGGCCAGTCAGTCCCTGACCTGTGTGTCCACAGGCTTAGGAGAGCAGTTCCTCATGGAACTCAGGGCACAGAAGGGTCCCCGTGGCCCAGAAGGGTGATGGCATCAAGAACATTATTCTGTAGGGGCTTGGCCAGTAGTACCACATGAATTAACCAGATCCCAGAGGAAAACCTTGTGCTTTCTCCTGGAAGAGAGGGAACAAGGACTGAGCTGGACAGCCACATTATGACCAGTCATGCCAAGCAGTTCCTGGGAAACTATGCCAGCTGCCTTATACAAAGACAACTGCCACAAGGAAAGAGAGACCTGGCTCTTTCTCAGAGGAGATGGGAAAAAATGTAGGTGTGCATTCTCTGCCAGGAACAGCCAAGGCATCTCCAGCAGCTTTGGGTTGGTTTTCTCTCATGGCAAGCTCTTGGAGCTGCTGACAGCGAGGAACCTTAGGGAACTCGATCCTTTCTCTCCTCCTCAGGCTTCTGCCCCCTCCAATCCCAGAACACAAGTATATGGAGGAAGAAACAGATTCTTGCTGTACTGATACACAAGACGCCAGGCAAAGAGAGGCTTGTGGAATGCACAGCCCAGTGGATCTTGTTTCCCAGAATGACTGGCCTGGCCTTAGCTGAGGGTTAATTAACTCTGGCAGCTCAGGGCTGGAAAATGTCCACTTCATGCACTGGAGTGCCTGGCCACGGGTGAAGAGAGGGCCAGGCAAACCAGAGGGGCAAAGGTCCATCTGCAGGCACGTATGAAAAACTTGGCTGGGCTCGTGCCTGGGTCCTGAGGGAGGAACACAAGAAAGATCCAGCCAACTGCTGCAGCCAGAGCAGGGTCTTGTGGGTGCAGGAGGAGAACAACAAAACCACAAAAGAGCTGGAAAAACACAGCCATGCCAGGCGTAGGTGGAGACACATTATCCTGTGGGGCAGGCACGCCCTGTGCCCTCCCTCCTCTGAGCATCACAACTGCCTCTGCCTCAGCCTCCGGGAAAAGGGGGTGCGGCTTGGGGGTACATCCAGTGGGTGCTGGGGCTCACAAGCAGGGAAGCAGAGTGCACCACTGCAGCACAGCAGAAAGAAATGAAGTTATTCCAAGGCCACGCAGACCTGCTGAAAGCAGGAGTTGGCTTCCTTTGCACATGGAAAGAGGACACTGTCCTGGATCTCTGTGCACACTTGAGTGAAGTGTGTTTGAGGCTGGAGACCTCTGTTCCCACTGCCAGTTCTGCACCTTGCCAGACTGCAGGACACATTTCATGCTCAGTAAGACCAAAAGATCAGAAAGATCTATTCCCAGTGTAGCAGCTCCCAACTGCACCACACATCAAAAAACGTCCTTGTTCCCTGCCATTCCTGTTGCACTGAGGATCTGAGTATTTTGAGAAGACTCGTGGTAGCATTTTACAAGACTTGTGTAAGGTGGCAGCAGCTGCCCACCTAAGCCCAGGATCTGGAGACAGACAGTGCTCCCAAGACCCTGGTGTCAGCCTGTACCATCGACTCCTCCAGCCTCTGACTTACTAAAACCTGGAGGGAACTTGGGACTAACTTACTCATGAAGAACAGGAGAACATGGTTCCCCCTTCTCCAGTGTGCAAGTTATTGAGAAGAAAACAAGGAAGATCTATTTGCAAGACAGACACCTTGGGCTGTGCATCCTTCCCTCCTGCTTCCTGGAAGCTGGGGTGAGGTGCAGGGGTGGTTCTGGCCCAGCTTTGCTGCCAATGTGTTCTGGGAGAGCACCAACTGGTATCCAGCTTGGCAAAGCCCTCCAAGATCTGCTGAGGAGAATTATCCCCGAGAAAGAGAGTATTGTTTTACTAATTGTGTTCCTCCCACTTCCTCAAACAGGAGGTTCATAGCAAGGTAGGTAAGGATGAACAGTGCCTGGAGCTATTTTAAAGTGCCCAACCATCCAAAAGGTAAGAGACCAAATTCTCTACGCTGAGTTAGGATGGAACAGGGAGCAACGAGGGAGCTCACAATCTGCTTGGAAAAGCCTCTGTGTAGCAAAAGATGGTGAGAAGTTGACAGAGAATTGCTGTGATTCCTTGGCTTGCTACTCAAGATAAGTATCGTAGCCTTAAATATTTGAGGGAAATACTAATCCTAAACAAAGTAAAGTAAGGTTCAAACGGAATTGTTTGCAAAGAATTGGGAAGGAAAAGAGAAGGAATAGAGGCCACGAGGCATTGGACAAGCCAAGGAAAACATTTTGAGAACACCATGCCACTTAGTGCAGTCAAATGTATTTCAAAAGCAAAGAAATAGTTTTTCAGAAGTCATTGCATAGCCAAGCTGTAGGCAGGAGGTATTACATTGCCCCTGCTTTGAACCAGATACATCCTCTCCTTCTGCCCAGCATTTTTCACTCACAAATCTCAAAGCACTTACAGATGTTCATACTTCTGAGATTAACTTTCTCGATTAAGTTTCTTGATAACTCTACTCAATCAAAGAGACTTCAGCTATTCCCTCCTGCTCACAAAGTCCCTGGGAAGCTGCTTTGCTGTGAAGCTTCAGGGTGCCCCATGGCAGCCCACAAGTTCTACTGCTTCTCTCTCCATTCCAAGCTTAAGTGCAGCAGTGCCAATGGATTTTTTGTTTTATTTTATGTACAGTTTGGCACACACTGACTTGGGTACAGCGACTCCAATAGAAGAGCCTCCCTTCCCTGCTGTGCCGGACTCTGAACCAGGGCTGGATTAGCCAGGAAGGCAGGAGGAGCAGAAAGTCAAGATAGGCAAGGAAATCCTGGCATTCCTCTCTGAGCCTGAAACCAGATCCTCCCTCCTCTGTTATTCTTGCCACTCATTCTCCATCTGTAGGAATTGCTGAGGAGACAACTAGGCCAGCTCAGTAGGCAACTGCTGTTTCAGCATTTGTAAATACTCAGTAATTGGCCCAGATCAACCTCCTCGTTGCCAGGAAACTGCCCCTCAGGTCTAGCACTTTCCTCTGCTCGCTTCTGGTCATGTGCATGGACTTCAATCTCTTCATCCCGAGGGCTGTTTGCTGGCAAGGGCCCTGACAGCACCGATGCCAGGCCATGCCTGTGCTGGAGCAGCCCTCAGGATTCCTGCTCCCTTCCCTTCCATGCAAAAGGCTGCCTCCTGCCCCAGCAGAAGCTCTGTTTGAGATGCACTCCAGCTGCTTCCCAGCAGAGAAGATGTTCCCTCTCTGACTGACATTTCCTTTGAAACAAGAGAAACACAGCAGGCGCTGGACTCCCAGCGTGTCAACACGTGCAGCTCAGCACCTCCAGGGTCCTGGGAGCCCTTCCAAGACCTGCTGCATCGCTGTGGTTAATCAGCTCTCAGATTCTGAGCAACAAAAGCCTTCTGCTGTCCAGGGGAGA